GACCCGCACCAAGAGCGTAAGTATCAGCTGTAGCCGCCTATGTACGGTATGTTTGGCTAATGCATGAGCAGGAACGAATGCAAATCAAGGATCTCTATCACACCTTCTTCGCCCCTCACCTGGTCCCCTACCGAAAAGAATGGAGCAACGGCGCCGACGATACATGCTACATTGCTCCCGACGAAGCTGCCCAGGAAGACGCAGGAAACCACGAGAAGGGTCGTCAAAAGAAGGAGGACGAGAAGAACGCCGTCGAGAAGATGGCGCACCAGTCTCCCTCCGCATGTTCGCTCGTATGCGAATCGGCCGGTCTCGATATCAACGAACAAGAGTTCAACGCGCTCGAGACGCACACCGAGCGATTGAGCTACATCCGAGGCAAATACAGCGAAAAGGACGGCGACATCAATTTCAAGAAGGACCGAAAGTGCTTCCAGTGGAAATTCCAGAGGAACATGTGCTGCACAGGCAAGAGCTTCAAGCTGGGCGCCCCCAAGTTTGAGGGAGAGACCAAGAACCGCCACACGAGCGGCTGGTTCGTAAAGGGTATCAACGACTGGGTCGAAGCGCGAGGCGAGTGCGAGCAGGTTGCCTGGAGGGATCCCAGCTAAACCACGCACGCACACTCACATCTACACACACCTACACACATCTCCATGACAAAAGCAATCAAATCGCCCACCTCACACGCGGATGAGTCGGCGGGCTCGGATCGGGATAGAAAGCGTCTTTTTCGCTAATGACCACACATACACCAGCTTTTTATGGCCTCGTCCGCCATGAACGACAATGAAAGGCAACTTTGTTAAAACGGCGTTTACGGGGGGAATGGACTTTGGACAACCTTGTACAAGGGAATCGGATTGGACAATATCTTGGCCCAAACGAGGTCAAGACGGCAATGGCGTTCAGGCTTGTTTTCTTTTTCTTTTTCCCTTTTTTTTTTTATATCTCTTTTCTTCATCTTTTTCTTTTTCCTTTTCCATACATGGCCCCTCTTATATAGACACGCTGCCGGCATGAGATTGGATGGTTTTTCTCTTTTTAATGCCTTGTGTTATTATCTCGCCCTTACGGCCCGCAGAATAGGGACCAGGCGCGCCAGGTAGCAAAGATGGATAGATGGGGTCTGTCTCGAGTCATTGCGACAAGTCGCACAAGAAAAAAAGAAGATATTGATAAAGATGTCTCCCTCGATATGCGGTCTATTAAGAAGTTCATTAGTAACGTCGTATTGCCTCGTGGCGAACCACGTATGGAATGGCCTTCCCCCCTTCTCCCGCTCGCGCCACCAGACTGCACGTGGGATTGGCGTGGTGGGTTGGGTGGCATCGTTCCATTCTTATCTGACTGTGGAATGTCGGCTGCTGACGGCTGAGAGGGCGGCAAAGGAATTCCCGCCCTTGTCCCTCCCTCCCCCATGGTACGAGGCACGTTCGAGGGGGGAGGGACTCGGAGCAAACAGGAACAAGCGCAGGCACGAGGCATCCCTTCCACCATGGGTGGATGCACAGCGCGACACACATCCAGTCGTCGTCATACAGTCATTTATTTCGCTGCACGGATCCATCAAGTACCGGGCGTGGTAGCACGTTGCGTTACCGTTAAGGCAGGTAAATAAGCAAATAGGTGAATAGGTATCTTGATACGAGTGTGGAAACGTCATTACTTGTCCCCCCCCTCCCCTTTCAGAATCAAATCTTCGTCAATCATGCCCAACGTGCCCCTCCTCCAAAATCAGTCCTGCTGCCCATCCATTTTGCAAAATCGCGACTGGGCTTCCCGCTAACGCCCATTTCCGTAGATAATCGTATATCATAGCCTCCAAGAGAAAGTAAGGCGAATAGTTTTACATTGTTTGTTTGTTTGTTTGTGTTGTTCCGTTTGTTTGTGTGTGCGTGCATGTGTGTCTTATGAACTATTTCACAAGTGACGCTGTAGTGCTCTTGTGGTAGGTGATCTGCGCCTTTACTTGGCGGGCTCGACGAGTCTTCGACCTCCGTGGCGCCCGCAACGGTGGGGGTTCTTGGGAGAGCTCATGAAGCAATACGCTTTGGCGTCAGGCCCGGCCGGCTTGCCGTACACCTCCTTGATCTCGCAGTACTCGCGGCCCTCGCCCATCCAGTCCTTGAGATGTCGGTGGAGCTCGCAGCGCGAGATGCCGCACTTTCGGCAGTAGACCTGGCCCTTGACGCGCAGCTGCTCGAGCTCCCTCTCCTTGATGCTGGCCTGGGAACTGGGGTGCACCAAGGGGCCAGCGCGTCGCCACGCCCACTCCATGTCGTTGGGCCCCGAGTAACGGCTGGAGAGCGGCACGGTTCCATTCTTCCTCCGGTGGATCGCATAGAGGCTGGAGTGCGCGAGGCCCAGGCATGCGCCATCAATAGGGTCAAGGAAATCAAAGAGGGAGTAGTGGAGCTCGGACGGCAGGTCCAAAAGACCAAGGCGCGAGGATGGCTTCGGCTGGCCACGAGGAGCAGGCTCGTAATCCATCACCGAGTAGGAGCGTCGTGGGGGAGGCAACTTGGGCCTCTGAGAGAGCTGAACGGTCTGCTCGTTGGCAGGTGATTGGGCGGGGGGACCTGCGACCTCCGTCGAGCTTGTCGCCATAGGACCCTGGAGTGGCTCATTCTCGGGGATGGCCACCTCTCGGTCAACAGCTGTGGCGCCTGAATGAGAGGCGTGGTGGACCTGGTTGTCGCCTTGGTAGTCCGTCATGGACCATCCTCGTCTCGGTGCCCTCACCATGCCTCTCTTCATATGGAGCTCCTTCATTCTCTGCGCATGCTCCTCGCGGGACATGGGCTTGGTCTCCTTGCTGGGCCTCCAGTTATCCGCAGGCGTGCTGACGGGGCTGCCGCCCTGCGAATAGGGAGACTCGGGGAGAAGCTGAACCATCTTGAATGCGATGCGAGTGGTCGCTTAGCTGGTGGGGTCCGGCGTGATGTAATGGGATCTGTGATTCTTCGAAATGGGCTTCGAAGAAACTGAGTTGCCGTAGTGTGTCGTCGCAATCGTTGTAAGCAGGTTGGTAGTGTTCGACCCGTCAGGATGTGGGCCGATACTGTTCAGTGATATGATCAAACCAAGATCCTCTTAGCAGACACATGAAACTGTTCTCAAAAGATGACTCTCATCAAGATGTGTGATAACTAGAGGAGTGCCCAGGTGGTGGTGGCTAACGGGAGACGGGAGGCGAGGGTAGGGGTTATAAAGGCCGGGTAAGTGGCACAAGCCTGGAGGCGAGGCGGTCTCCGACGAACCCCCGTGCCATGCCATGGTGTGATGGGTACCGTTACGGGATCCATCCATGGAAATTTTGCACGCACGCCTCGGCCCCAGGGGCAACGCCGGGCAAAGGCTGGCGACAGACCAAGAGGAAGCAGGCCCAGGACAAGGAAAGGCGATAAGCTAATACAGTCTTAGCGCCGGCCGTTCCATTCACATTCCCCATCCTGGCCAGGGACGCATAGCGTTTCCAGCGATTCAGGCGTCGCCGGCTCCTCCAGTGTTCCAGTCAGGGCAGCTAGGGCCTTTCGCGGGTAAGATGCTCGTCGCCAAGTGACCCTTCCATGCCCAAAGAAGACGAGATTTTCCCGTAGCATCTCGAATCCTGTGGCAAGACGTGGGATGGGCCCAGAATTATTGCGCAGGTGTCATCCAGTGTGGAGCCTCAGATGTAGATGTCCCCTTGGGTTCTTGGGTTGATACTACCGAGCAGTCTAGATGCGCGCTGCACCCCGCCAGGCTAGTCTGACCTGGCACAGAACATGCATGAGCAGTCATGGTGCGGGACGCGTCTTGCTTCTGCAAATCCAACCCGTAGCGAAAAGGCTGTGTCGCCATTGTTTGCAGAACTCCTGTCATCATCGCTGGGCATTCCAAGTTATCAGCCACGAGGCGGCTAAGTCCAAGTCTTTTGGCGCCAGAGGCTGGTCGAGACACAGAGACAGCCAGAAGCGTGGCGTGGGCGTTGGTACGTTGCCGATTTCGAGGGGAAGCATCCCCCGCGCTTCGCGAGAGGTGGCGTTCAGGCACCGAGTCACGCGGGGTGACCAGTTCCGTTGGCAGAGGATTCGCGAGTCATCCTGGCCAGGTTAAAGTCTCAGGACTCGAAAGAACAACAGCAGCGAAACCCTTCCAAAGTCCCGATATTCGGATCCAGACATGGGCTGGGGTTGATTTCTCCCGGCGGCCTCCCCCACAAACGAAAACCCACTCTTCCTCACCGTCCGTCCATTTAGCACCACGGCACAATGGAAACAATGCGGATCCCCATGGAATATTCGACCCTCAGGACCCCCTTCCCACGTCATTACGGAGCTGGGCGACGCTGAGCCTATCTTGCCACCAAGGGTCGTGCCATCATCATCGCGTATGTGCGGATAGACAGACGACTTCAAAAACATCCCTGCCATTCCGGTTTGTTTTCGGTCGGAAAGCGCAACGAGCTGGCGAGAGAACGATAGAAGGGAGGTAGGGAGGTAGGGTCGGAGAGGATTGACCGGCGGTTCGGGCGTAACGAAGCACAAAATGCGGCCTGACTGGGCAAGGGGGAGCTGAAATGCACCCATCCCACGCTGCAACTTGTTGTCTCGACCCACGCGGAAGCCGTGTCCAGACTAATGAAGGCTGTGCGAACGGCACACACGCACGAGGTCGTTGTCCTACCAAGGGTTGCGGAGAAGAATGACTGCGATGGAGAAGAAGCAAGACAAAAAACGAAGAGGGAAGAAGAGCAATAACGCAGCTGGGATTGGGCTGGGTTATTTGGGTATGGACGGCGTCGCCGCCAGTCAGGTGTAACTGCATGTCGCGTCATGCATTTGGCTGCTATTTCGTAGGAAGGTGGTGTCAACCCCTCTTGCCATCTCATCCTCAACCCACGCATTCACCGAGCCACCAAACCAGATCAGAATGAGGCTGGATGAAGGCGGGGTTGGTTGTCTGGATTTGCAGCAGCGTTGCAATATAGGGGTTTCTAATTCTGCGAATAACAAGACCGTGTGGCCAAGTGGCTATGGCGTTGGTTTTACAGAATATCCTGTAAAGATCACCAAAGATCGCAGGTTCGAACCCTGCCACGGTCAATTTTTTGCCTTTTTGTTGTTTCTTTTGTCCCAATAATCAATTGGAAAGCAAGAGAAGAAAAGAGTGCATACAGTCAGTATGCCTAAGGAGTTTGATGTGCCAATTCGTATGGAGGAGACCTGTAGTAGTTGGTTGCGTTCATGTTTTTGTTTTACAAGCGATCCCTAAGTTGGGCATCTAGGTAGCAGAGTCGGGCTCATGGATGGATTTGCTGTTGGAGACGCCGCCTCTCCAGTGCAACATGATAGATAGATGCATTCAAACTTGGCTTTGAATATAAACAAGCAAGCTGGAAGTGTGTGTTTGCTAGCTGGTCTCGTGGCATTGATTCGCCAGGACGCCGTGAGAACAGAGACAGCGACGGATCATTTTCATCACCAGTTTATGCGTGTAAGCCTGCTGGTCATGCATGTTTCACTCAGCAACACTTCACGGCAGGTCAGACATCAAGAATTTCGTATTTTGTAGGTATGCCATGTGGACGTCCCGCTCGGGGAAAACTGTCTTCTCTCGCGACCACCTGGTGAGTTCGCGGGACAGTCTCTCATATCCTATGCTCAATACCACGCTGCCCAAACGCCGGTTCGACAAGGGATCTCCATGCCTACAGGAGGAATATACGCTCCGTGCCATACGGCATCGCAATCGACGCACGCGCCAGTCGCGCTGCGCTCAGATGGCGACCCAGATCAGCATGATGACAACGTCCAGGCCCTTGCCCTCGCCGCCGTCGTACTTGAACGTCCACATGCCGTCCTTCTTCTCGTCCCAGTAGGCGCCGGTGGCGCTGTGCATGCCCCGGCGGCCGACGTGGGGCTTGCCGTCCGTGGCCGTGGCGTCGGTGCTGGTCGAGATGTGAGGCTCCTCGGACTTGACCTCGGTGCCGCCGCGCGCCTTGTTCAGGGCCGACGTGGGCACCAGGTGCTGGACGATGGTGCTGTTGCAGGCGAACTTGAAGGCCGGGGCCGAGGCGCCCTCGGGGGTGGATTCGGAGATGACGGCCTTGAGCATAGAGCTCTGGAAAAAGAAGCTGTTAGCTGGTGCGGCTCTGCTATGGTGTGCGCGCGAATAGCGACAGGTGAAGGGGAGGGTCCTACAATGATGGTAGAGTTCCATTGCTCCGTCTTGGCGTGGTCGTAGAACTCGGCGCTTCCAATGGCACTGTTGCAGACCTGTAGCGCTTATTGTTAGCAGACGTGCAGGCGAGGCGTATGTCGCGATCGCCTTGTCGCGCGTAGAGAAAAGGGGAGGTTACGCACGTCGGTAGCGATCTGCTTGAGGCGGTTGAAGGCAACAGGCTGTCCGGGCTGGTTAGCAAGCTGCAGTAGAGGAGAAAACGGGGATTGGGTACATACAGGAGTAGCCATTGTGAATGTGGATGCGTAGGGAATGCGATGTTTCGTGATATCGACAGGTTGATAAACAAGCGGTGGGTTGAGCAACAACAACAGCAGCAGGACCTGGCTTGGTATTAGAAATGAAGAGCAACAATGAGAGGAGGGGTGGTTAAGGTAAATAAGAGTCCGTACAGAATGGGGAATCAGGGCTGGGAGGGTCTTAGACTTACGCTTGGAGGCAGGAGAGATTGGACGCTTGACTTGTTATGCGGATGGAAGCGAGTTGTTTCTGTTATTCTGTGTCCTGTGCTGCTCCATGCATGAACCGCCCATCTCGGCTTCAACCCAAGCTGTCCCCTGTTTGGCGGGGCCCTTCACGTGATTCCCATCACCGAGACGACCCTGCCTGATCAAAACACAGGCAAGACGGAGAAAAGCTTGAGCCATGGCCTTTGGCTGCCAGTGGAGAAGCGGTACCTGAACATGCACTGAAAATTGCCTGAAGCTAATGTAGGTGGGGCCCTGCTATGCATGCAGGCGCAAGAATCTTTTGTCGTCACTGCCGGCAACTACCTCGTACTGTAAACTGTAATTCCACTCTTCCTGCGTTTCAATCCCCCAACCATTATCACCTATCCAGCTCCACGCAGCATCTGTAATCACCGTGATCCGTACGAATCGATATCCGCACCGAACTGTGGACTGAGCGCCGTTGCACATCTCTATCCTCGATTGGTTTACGCCCGGAGCGACTCACTCGAGGTACCACCGATCGAACCCGTGTCTCGCTGTCAACGCGCATCCTGACAAGCCTCCATCTAGAACCAGCCATGTCTTCCCAACCGCTCCTCCAGACCGCTCCCGGTACGTGGCCTTCTATATGCGCAATTCGCAGTCGTTCCATTTGCTAAATCATCCCCCCAAGGCAAGCGAATTGCCCTGCCGACCCGCGTTGAGCCCAAGGTCTTCTTCGCCAACGAGCGAACCTTCCTGTCATGGCTCAACTTCTCCGTCATCCTGGGCGCCCTCGCCATCGGCATGCTCAACTTCGGTGACCGAGTCGCCTTCATCTCGGCTTTCCTCTTCACGGGAGTTGCCATGGCTACCATGGTGTATGCGCTCTTTACGTATCATTGGCGAGCAAAATCGATTCGAGTGAGGGGCCAAGCTGGCTTCGACGACCGTTTCGGTCCCACCTTCCTGGCCATCATCCTCCTCTTGGCCGTCATTGTCAACTTTGTCCTGAGGATCGTCGAGCAGTCCAAGAAGGAGCAGCACAGCCCTTAAACTCCCGCCGTCGAGTCGAGTCGAATCGAATTGTTGATGTTGGAAATCGGCAGGTCGGATCTGTGTTTGGTGAAGCGACGTCAAGGGAGCGATGACCGAAGTGGGCGATTGATATTGAAACAATGGTCAAAGCGTGTCGAAGCGTCGCAATCTTCTGAGAGGTTGCAACTGAATGTATCATGGACAAGTAGGATATTATGTACGAGCGTTAGAACAAACAATGTGGTCCAACCACGGCAATAAAATGGGTATTTCTTTGGTCGCCAGCAATTTCCCAAGCCTCCTTTGTTGTATGATATGACGAAAGTACCCTGCAAACGGCCCGGGTCGCCTGATCATGGTTTCGTCTCGTCGCTGCTTTGTAGTGTGATGTCGTCCTTTGCTTTGAGCTCAGGAACCGGTCCAACAGCCAGGAAGACACGCATTGACTTGCAAACATGTGTTGGTGGCCTCGGTGCCACGGCTCTTTCGAAGCGGCTCCCCATGGTCTCGAAGCCGTCGCCGTCGCCGTCGCCGTGGGAGTCTTGCGAGTTTCTCTCGAGCACTGTCTCTTCGATGACATCGCGCTTCTTTGCCTCCGATTGCGACGTGAATAGCTGGTTGTACTGGTACCAGCTCTTGCCCTCCTCGCCAAGCACCCTTTTGCACTGCTCGACAACCGTAATCAGCTTGCACACATCCGTGGTCCGCGCATAGAGCAGCGCCACGCGGGGCTTGTCGGCGGTGGCCAGCAAGTGCCGCGTAACATAGGCGGTGCGCTTCCCTATGGGCGTGGAGGATATGACGGAGACGGGGAGGGCGTCGTAGTGAGGTGCGAGTTGGGCCAGAACGGCTTCGTGGGGTTCGACGAGGGAAGAAGATGGCTGCGGCTGTGTCACGCGATGCTTCTTGGCTGACTTGGGTCCCTGTGCAGGCGCCGCCTCGCCCGTTTTGCGCTTCTTCGTGCCGTGGTCTGCTCTGGCGTCGGCGGCCATGACCGCGGAGAGGGTGAGAAAGAAGAGGGAAGGGGAAAACAGGAGTTTGTTGTTCCAAGAGAAGTTGTCGCCAAGCAATTGCCTAATGCGATGGATGACTGGGGCAAAATCGTCAAGATGCCGCTTATCGGGAATTTTACAGATCTTATCGCCCACCATTTTGACGAGCTTCTTGTCAACGTCATCCCAACAAACAATTTTTACGAAAATATCATGCATATTTCTCAATCAAATCCCATTAGCAAAAACAAACGACATAGGGACTTGGTTTTTGTTTTTGTTTTTTTTATACGCCAGTTCGGAGCACCTATGTTTATTGACTCTGCTTCTAACTGTAGTAACTTCGCCGAACTACATTTTCTCTCCATGATCGATCCAGACGACTTGTCCATTCGTCCATTTAGCCAAGCTTGACGACCTTGACGGTAACGGTTCCAAGAGCACCAGAGTCCAGACTGGCGCCGGTATGCTGCACCATATAGTTGTTGTTGATGTCGCTGACGGTGAAGGTGTTGGTCTTGGAGCCCCAGGGGCAGTTCCAGTAGACGTGGCAGATCTTGGTGCTGCCGTCATAGAGGTCAAAGACGCCCTCAGTTCCGGAGGAGGCATCAGAGCGGCCGCAAGAGGCAATGCTCGCCTCTGCGCCCTCGCCGGCCGTCTCCTTTTCGACGTCGCCGCCACTGATTTCGTTGTCCTTGTTGTCCCACTTGTAGAACTTGCCCCTGTGTAGCTGTCAGCATAGCCCACGGTTATAAGTGGTCAGCGGTGTAATACTTACCACATGACCTTGGAGTCCTGGACACTGATCTTGCCAGACTTCGTCAGGTACTGGACAATGACGTGAACCCACTGAGCGTAACCCATTGTGAAGATTGTTGTTGGGTGGTTGGTTGGGGAGAGGTGAGGAGTTGTTTCTTGAGTTGAGTGTGTTGGTTGTGATAGCTCGAGAGATGCTGAGGAAAGATGCTGCCATGGAGGGAATCTCTCGCCATATTTATACCTGTGACAGAGGCCTCAAGTTGTCAGAAGACAGCTCGGCTGGGGAGATGTCCATTTCGATCTTGTCGTCACCGCCTCGGTAACAACCCAGTTTCACCTCGGCTGAGCTGTTGTTCAATAGTCAGGATTTGCAATGAATATGCGTTGGCGGGCGTCTTCATGCACGATTCCAAGTTCATTACGAAACTCAGCTCGAGCAGTGACAGCTCCTAAGCCCAATCCATCGATATGATCGTCTTGCCGTGCCGTGATCATCGTCCCGTCCCGTCCGCTGTCCCAGACCCGCCTTCAGCTCATCCACCAGAGCTTGGCCAGAATCTGCGATGTCTGATGATGTAGGAAGCTGCTCTGTTGATCCTACATCTGCAGGGGAGTGCGGGCGGCTTGCTCAGAGAACCTTGG